TTGTTGAATGTTGCGGTCGGCAGCGCTTTTGTAAACAAATCTGCAAAATTTTCAGATGATCAAATTTGTTGCACATTAATTTCACCACTTTTCTGAAGATCGTGAGTGAAAAAGAACTTCAGAGATATGTGCTTTGTCCGATCGCCTTTAATATATCCTCATTTTAATTGAGCTATACAAGTTGCATTATCTTCAAATAATATTGTAGGAGGTAATATATCATCGGTAATCAAGCCACAATTTTTCTGAACATGGTGAGTCATGGACCTCAACCAAACGCATTCACGACTGGCTTCGTGAATTGCTAAAACCTCAGCATGATTTGAAGAAGTAGCTGTTATTGTCTGTTTAGCAGATCTCCAAGAGATTGCGGTTCCACCACAAGTAAATAAATAGCCAGTTTGAGATTTTGCTTTGTGTGGATCAGACAGATAACCAGCATCAGCATAACCAGTTAATTCATTTCGAGATTCACTCGAATAAAATAAACCGAGGTCATGAGTTCCCTGAAGATAAGAAAAATGTGCTTGATACCATTCCAATGGCGCTTTGTGGGGGATGCGCTAAACCTGGCCAGTAGACTTACTAGAAAAGATATATCTGGCCTGGTACAATTTGCGAGGTACATTAATGCGCCAATAACACTGAGATATGGTACCTCGAGGCCAAGTATTTCTTCATTTTCTTCTCTTGGCCTAAATGGATCTTTACTGGGATCAATGGATCTGACCACCATTGGTGTACTCAGAGAGTGAGATTTATCCATGTAAAATTGTTTTAATACCTTTTGGGTATATGTGGATTGATGGATAAATATTCCATTGTTCACATGATCCACCAGTAATCCCAGACAATATTTTGTATTTCCAAAATCTTTGATCTCAAATTCTTTCTTTAGATATTCAACAGCAATTTGGATCTCTTCAGGAGTTCCAATTAAATTGAGATCATCAATATATATAGCAATAATGACAAAATTTGATCCATTTTTCTTTATAAAGACGCATGGGCATATTGGATCATTAGTATAACCTTCTTTTATTAAACATTCGCTCAGACGGTTATACCATATTCGCCCTGATTGTTTAAGTCCATACAATGACTTTTTCAATTTGATGGAATATGATTCCCTTGGGTTTAATTTGTATGCTTTAGGCATATTGAATCCCCCAGGAACTTTCATATAAATATCAGTATCCAATGAGCCATAAAGATATGCAGTAACTACGTCTAAAAGGCGCATATCGAGCTTTTCTCGCACTGCTAGGCTCCCAATGTATCTAAATGTTATTCCATCAACAATCGGAGAGTATGTTTCATCAAGATTTACTCCAGGTCTTTGTAAGAATACCTGAGCTACAAGACGGACTTTATATCTCACAATTTCATTATGCTCATTTCTTTTTCGTACAAACACCCATTTGTATCCAACTGGTTTTATACCATCTGGTGTTTGAACAATTGGTCCGAAGACCTCCCTTTTGTTTAATGAATCAAGCTCTTATTGAATCACATGCTCCCATTTTGGCCAGTCATTTCTTTTCCGACATTCATAAACCGATTTTGGCTCTGGATCCTCATTTTCTTCCATTATATCAAGTGCTAAACTGTATGCGAAGGCATTATCAATAGCTGCCTCTTTACGGTTCCAACATTTTCTTGAAGTAACATAGTTAATTGAGTTTTCAATAATCTCATCATGTTCTTCAAGATCGTGCTCTTCTTGAGCAATTATTTCAGGATTGACTTCCTCATTAGATTGAAGTTTATCAATGTCATTCCTGATATTTTCATGATTATCATCATTAATTCCTCTTTTCTTTCGAGGGTGTTTGTCTTTGGAACCGAGTGGTCTACCACGCTTTAAGCGTGTCACTGATTCATTAGCACTTGTAATTTGTCCATCAGGGACAATTATTTTAGCCGGAGCATTAGCAGCTTGGATAGATCGTGTGACTTTGCTCGAGTCATTGAATGCATCCGGTAACTGATTTGCAATATTTTGCAAATGTATAATGCGTTGAACTTCTAGTTCACACTGTTTTGTACGAGGATCACAAAAATTCAATGGAATTTTCCAATTAATATCCCTTTTCGGTTCATTTTTGTCTCCCCCTAATGTCCGAAAATATGATTCATCAAAATGACAATCTGCAAATCTTGCAGTGAATAAATCACTCGTCATAGGTTCAAGATATTTTATAATTGACGGCGATTCATATCCGACATAAATGCCCAATCTACGTTGAGGACCCATTTTTGTACGTTTGAGGGGTGGAATAGGAATATAAACAGCACACCCAAAAATACGTAGATGAGATATATTTGGTTCGTGACCAAACACTAACTGCACCGGGGAGTAGCTATGATAGCTTGTCGGCCTCATTCTTATAAGTGTTCCTGCATGTAAGATTGCATGCCCCCAAGCTGAAACGGGCAACATAGACCTCATCAGTAATGGTCTAGAAATCAATTACAATCTTTTAATAAGTGATTCTGCCAGGCCATTTTGTGTATGAACATGAGCAACTGGGTGCTCTACATTAATTCCAATCAACATGCAACAATCATCAAATGCATTCGATGTATATTCACCAGCATTATCCAGACGTATAGTCTTAATTGGATTATCGGGGACTTGTGCCCGTAATTTAATAATTTGGGCAAGCAATCTCGCAAATGCCACGTTGCGAGTAAATAATAAACATACATGGGACCATCTCGTATATACACCAATGAACACCATAAAATATTTAAATGGCCCACACGGTGGGTCTATTGGTCTACATATATCCCCGTGTATTCTTTCCAAAAATGTAGGTGATTCAATACCTACTTTAGCTGGCGATGGCCTGGTTATTAATTTTCCCTGAGTGCAGGCAACACATGTTAACTCATTTGAGTTTAAAACTTTTCGATCTTTTAATGAATGGTCATGCAAATTCTCAATTATTCCCCTCATCATTATACTGCCAGGATGCCCAAGGCGATCATGCCATATTTGAAAATCGGTAGTCTTTTGATCTACCGTGAGGTGTGTTTCAACAACACCTAATTTGGCATAATATAAGCCAGTAGATAGTGAGGGTAATCTCTCAATGATGCATTTCCTTTTATCAATGATATTGGTGATCAATAAAAATTCACCATCGGTATCACTCATAGTTTCAATGTGATAACCATTTTTCCGAATGTCATGAAAGCTCAGTAGATTTCTTTGAGCTTTAGTGGCCAACAGTGCATACTGTATCATAATTTTCGTCCCCGCGGGGAGAAATATAATGGCTTCTCCAGAGCCTTCAATTAATTTTGCACTACCACTTATTGTATTGACATTCATTCTTTCCCTTTTCAAATGGGAAAAATATTTTTCGTGTTTCAATGTAGTGTGTGTCGTTGCACTGTTAATGAAACACATATTTGCATCATTTTGATTGGCATCCATTAAACCTTCAAATATAAGTAAACGCAGTATTAATAAAGGCAGATATAAGTATTACAAAAGACATTACAAAAAAGTAATATGCGATAATTTAAATATTACAAAACATAATATAAAATGACATAATATGTCTATCACTGGGGGTTTGCCAGATCTACGACAAAATTCGCTATATCAAGATGCGTTGTGTCGTAATCCAAAAGATCATCATCGGGGTCGTCATCGTTATCAACGTGATTAGTCTCGATCTCCTTCCCCTTTTTCTGCAGTGAGGCTTGATAAAGATCGGCTAGGTGTTTGGTTGTTCTGCAGGTATTGGCCTAATGGCCTTCAATGCCACACCGATTACAACTGCCGGTTTGCCTCTTTCCCTGTTTAGCCTTTTCGGCTATATCCCCATGTTGGGGTTTATTCTACATCCTGTTAATGTCAAAACTGCGACGATTGTAAGGGGTATATCGTCGACTCTCACGACCGCGACCACGTCCACGGGCTCTACCACGTCCTTGGCCTCGTTCAGAAAATGTCACGTTCGCTTCAGGGAACGGACTGGAACCAGTGGGCCGGGACTGATGATTTTTCATCAGTAACTCATTATTTTGCTCAGCTAATAAAAGACATGCAATGAGTTGTGAGTACTTTTGAAATTTTTTCTCACGATACTGTTGTTGCAGCACAACATTCGAAGCATGAAAAGTAGAGAGAGTCTTCTCCAATTTATCATTCTCAGTAACATTTTCTCCGCAGAGTTTTAACTGAGATGTAATCTGATGGATAGCAGAGTTGTACTCTGTAACAGTTTTAAAATCCTGCAACCGCAGGTTAAGCCAATCATGTCGGGCTTTGGGGAGAGTGATATATTTCAAGTGCCCAAATCTCTCCCTCAATTCATTCTACAAATCCAGTGGCTCTTTCACCGTCAAATATTCAGACTGTAGAGAAATGTCCAAATGATGACGGATGAAAATAATAGTCTTAGCCCGATCTTGACTTGTAGCCATATTTTCACTGGCAATTGTATGAATAAGGCCCATAGAAACCAGATGCATTTCTACATCTAGGGATCAAGTCAGAAAATTATTTTCGGTGAGAGACAGAGGTTTAAAAAAAAATTTTGCAAGGTTTTCCATAATTTAGAAAATAGGTAATAGTGTAAAAATAAAACTTACCAAAAATAAAATAGGCATGAGCCCTCGTGTTAATAACGTGTTATATAATATATAATAATATAATATAGTTGGTAAATATGTATATATATGTATCGTGTGTATATAAGATAATATAATATAAAATACTAATGCAATATGTTAGAAGCAAGGACGAGAAAATTTATTGCAGAATGAATTTGTGGTTATCTCATTTCATCAATTCATATAGATATTTATAAGCATCAGCATGTCAAACAATTGATACAGAAGCATCCACGCCTACGTTACGAAATATACACGTAGCTACTACGTTTACAATATAGTGTGTTTATTTGTGAAAAGAGTAGATATGTATTTTTTTCTTAAAATCAGTATATTACACAAATTAATTATTTACATTCATAAAAAAAATGTTTTTCGAAACTATTTCCACAAAACAAAACCGTAATGTGTAAAATTAAAGAAACCCTAACCTCTATTTTTAGCTAAAATCTTGCTCTGATTTTGCAACCACAATTGTTGTTGAAGCTGCAAATTGTTGAGATCCATGCCCCCTCCTCCGCTCCCCTTGAATGCCCCATCCGCAAATGGATCGTTGCCACTGTGGCCCACGAACGATTCTTGTGCGGAGAATGTTGGAGTCGCTTGGAACGTCGGCACCTCTGATTGATTTTGCAGCGTTCCAATGAATTCGCTCGGTTCCTGCAGGAATGGATTGTAATGGCTGATTGCTGGCGTCAGCGCTTGCGTATTTATCGGCGGCTCCAGAAGCGCCAGTTCCCAGCTGTTCTCTGTTGTCGTCATATGTCCTCCCAGCGCCACCGGTGGCTGAACAGCCGTCGCCTCGACTAGAGCGAGTTCCCAACCGCTGGTTGAGGAACTTGCGGCCTTGAATAGCGCGACGTCCCAGCCGCCGCCGGACGAGGGATTTTCATCCGCCGGTGGCTCCAACAGCGCCAGTTCCCAGCTGTTGTTTGGGGCATCGAATAAATGGTGTTCCCATGCCGTGGTCGATGCATTGAAGTCTGTTTGAGATTGTTGTGATGCTGATGAGTGTACTGGTGTTTCCTTCTGCCCTTCCCCTTTACTCTCTTTGTTCTCTTCATTCTCATCTATCCAATCTTCCAACGACATTAAATCTCCGATCGAACACGACACCGGAAGGGAGCGAGTCGAGCCTGTTTCGCTCACTCCCATGTCGTCTCGTTGGGGTTCGGAGTATGTCTCAAGATCGATTGAAATGGCCGGAGCTGTTCCAGTTTCTGTTTCTGTTGCATTTATAAGCTCTTCCAACGACGTGCATTGTGATCCAACCTCGGAAGCTCCATCATCATACGCGGTCGGCGATTGCGCGCTGCAATCCTCGTTTACTACTCCAACTTTTACGGGCTTCGTAGGTGCAACCATTGCTTGGCTTGCCGCTCTGGCTGTCGGCGAAAATGAAAATTGATCCTTCAAGAATTCTCTTAGCGTCTCAATTAGCTCTTCGGATATCTCTTGCACACTCGGATACTCCGAGATTCTTCCGATGCCCATGCTTTTACACGACGAATAGAAGGCGCTTAGCTCTTCGAATTGCTTTACTGCCTTGAGACATGTTTGGAAGGCGGCGACACAATTTTGGTATTGCAAGTGATAGAAGCTGTCGAGAAGGAGGGCCAGACCATCTGAAATATCTTTGTAGAGGTCGAAACTTTCTTTCACAATGGCATAGAGCGACGTTTGTACCAATCGATTCAACTTGGCAGGACCCGTTGGGCGGGTGGCGATGGCGCGGTCAAGTAGGCGTTGCCAATACGACATCTTGTCAAGCAACATGGTGGGCTTCATATCCCGCACAAGCTCATTAGGCCGTCGTGCGCTGAGGCTCTTGCTCCGCTCGTAGGTTGGAGCCGGAGCCGGAGCTGTAGTAAGCTTATGCACATACCTCCGTTGTAGCTTCCCCGTCAAGAAGCACTCCAACCGCTCGTCCAAGTAAAGTGCAAATGTTCGGACAAAGGATGTGAAATCCCACGGGCTTGAGTTGGAATCATCGCGAAAGCCCGACAAATTCAAGATCTTAGCGCCGCGTTTCATGGCGTGGAGGACCTCGCGGGGGAAGTAAGGGTCCCCATCTTGGAAGATTCGGAGGACGAGCATCAAGGACTTGAGGGCGACGACCCAATTGCGAGTGCGGCCGATCCGCTTCCCGATGGCTCGGGCGCATGCGGCCGCATAAGCCTTGTTGGAGGAGACGAGCTGGAGGACCTCAGCGACGTACTTGTCGTCGATGGGGACATCCTCGTGGCTCGTAGCCTTGAGCACGGCGACCTCGAGGTTCGTGGAGGCCGAGTTGGCGGAGACCTTGGCGAGGCTAATGCTGGTTTGATCCTTCACGGCTCCGATGGCCTTCTTCAGTTTGCTCGACATGCTTTTGCGGATGAAAATCTCCCATCAACAACTATCAACCATCAACAACTATCAACCATAGCTATAACTATGATGTGATGATTATTGTGTTCTCGTCTTTGATCAAATTGACTGTATCTGTCTCTATGTATGTATGTATGAATGTGCATTCAAGAATTTTTAAAGGACATTAACCATCAAAAACAATTTCTTTTAATGATTTTGCTTTTGTCGATTTTTTTTTTTTTTTTTTTTTTTTTTTTTTTGGATCTTGAGAGAGAAAGGGTGGGAGGGAGGAGAAAGAGAGATGGGTGTTTTGGTTTGGAAGGGAATTAAGTATGAGATATTCCTTTAATCTCTCCCATCCAAAGGAAATTTATAGCACTATTTTGGGAGTTTTTTTTTTTTAAATATTATTTTATATTAAATAATAAAAATAAAAATTGAACACACTTGTAATTAATTTTTACTTCCTTTTACATAATTTATTCATATTTTTTAACTTCATCTGTATCACATAATTATTTATTGTTTAAAAGATAATTATACATTTTAATGGCATTTGAAATTTTATAGGGATTTGTTTGTGCATAATTTTCTTTATTTCCGATATATACTTTATTATTTAACATTAAACATAAAATATTATTTTTTTTATATTATCAACATGATTCATATACCTTACATAAAGCAATTTTTCGAATCAAAATACTAAACAAACAAATTTTATAATCTATAATTTTCTTAATTTTAATTAAATTAATTAGTTATTTTAATCATAATCTATAATTATTTAAATTCTATAATAATTGTTTTTATTAATACACTTTTTAATTACTCCCTCCGTCCGTATTTAACTTTTGCGTCATTGTACTTAACATTAAAAATATTATTATATTTGTATAATTTTTTATACAAATATCCTTCTATTAGTATTATAAAACACTAACTTTTTTATCTAAATTCTCATATCTACACAAAACCGAACAAATAACCTGGGACAAAGAAAGTATATTTTTTCTTTATTTCATTTTTCATATCCACTTATAAAATATACAATTTTCTTTTTAAAAAATTGTATTTATTTACGTCAGTACCAATATACCAATCTAAAAGATACAATTGTATATATATAAACAATTATACTAAATTTGTACAGTACATGAAATAAAAATTGAATCTTTCATCAAGAAATATATAAACAAGTATAAAAAAAATATTATTCACAAAAAAAGTTACTAGATTACTGATATTATAAACAAATGATATGACAAATCCTAACAGGAATATAATCAAAGAAAAAAAAATGCTTGCCCCAAAATGACCTGGACAATAAGAAAATCCCAATTCATTGGGCCTTTCTTTTCGATCATCTTCAAACTTCCATAATCCCTTCCCGAACCAAACATCAAGATTCAACATGATTTTATATAATGTTATTTCTAATCCAAGATCGACTAAGCAATTTTCTATCGAACCAAACCAATATCGAACAAAATCATAAAAAAAACTTCGATTTATTACGGAAGCAAGCAGTTCAGACTCAGTTATCCTATTATAAAACAAACAGATATCGAACACACATCCAAGACCCTGACCACAAATGACTCGCCACGGAAGCGCAACTAACACACAAAACCGAACTCTAATATAAGGGAATACTGCCGAAATTAAGCCTAAACCACATCGCAGACAAATTACAATAAAGCATACATAGAGCAAACAAAAATGTAGGAACATCAAGGAACAGGTCACGCATCAACAGAGAAGGAGTGCATCCCAAATCACCGCACTAGAATCGCCTAGGGCTTTTGAGAGAGAATCGCGATGAATCAAGTGAAGGGTCTGTTCTATTCTATATGAACCGGTTCAATGCAGGGTCCAGCAATATATACATTAGACCAGACCGGTTCGAATGGAACCGTCCAGATTAAGATCCAACGATCCAGCAGGTCTCACGTACAATTCGGGTCGTGATGCGGGCTACATACCCGGGCTTCAATTGGACAGATCGATTGTGTATATGACCTATGAATATATGGCCAAAATTCATCACATATAAAAATGAAAAAGAAATATTTACATAATATTTAAATATATTTGTTGATGTATTTTTTCAACAAACAAAAAGTAAAATTCAAAGATATGGAAAAATAATTAGCGTCTGAGATTAGGAATCTCTAAACATTGTACGGTACATAAGATAATTAACTGGAAACTAAAATGCTGGAAATTTAAAGTGGTGATCCCCAAATCTGAGTTTGCTTTGTTGAAGTTGATTGAAGATTGCTTCTCCAGAAAAATCCAAATCCTTAAATACTCCCTGAGAAACTGTACTGGAAACCGTCGCCCGAACGGTTACAACGTCTCCTTTTCAACCGTCTGCCAACCCTTCTCCTGATGACACGTGTCCTCAGCAGACCAAAATTATCACTCTATTTCACTCTTTAAGCCGACCACAGACCTTCCGCCCTTTTGGCCCAACTGCCAATCTACAACCGTATTGGTCCGACTGCCAATCCTCCCAACTTGCAAACCATTCGACTTGTTTGGTCTAGCCGCAAACGTCCCGACTTAAAGACCATCCGACCTGTTTGGTCCAGCCGCAAACGTCCCGACTTAAAGACCATCCGACCTGTTAGTCTAGCCGCAAACATCCCGACTTAAAAACCATCCGACTTGTTGGTCTAGCCGCAAACGTCCCGACTAAGAGACCATCCGACTTGTTGGTCCTTCCGACCTGAGGACCTCCCGACTAGAGGACCTTCCGATCCTGAGGACTTTCCATCCTGAGGACCTTCCGACCTGAGAACCTTCCGTCCTGAGGGCTTTTCGACCTGCGGACTTCCCGACCTGAGGACCTCCCGACCTGAGGACTTCCCGACCTAAGGACTTCCCGACCTGAGGACCTCCCGACTTGAGGACTTTCCATCCTGATGACTTTCCGTCTTGAGGACCTCCCGACCTGCGGACCTTCCGACATGAGGACCTCCCGACCTGAGAACTTTCCAACCCGCGGACCTCCCGACCTACATTTTCCTTAAAAATAAACCTATTTTCCCTGAGTTCCCCACGGTGCCCTTCAGCCAGTTCGATCAACTCTATTGCTAAGCCCATTTTTCTTTTACCTTGGGCTTTTTAACCTAATTCTAAATTTCATACGTAACAACTTGCCCGCCGTCAAGGGACTTTCAGACGCCATTTATTAATCGTTGTTTGGAAGTTCATAAATCACAACCCTCCTGAAAAATTCCCTTAGCAACTCCACCAGTTACTACAACACTCCTGAGTAACTTCCCTTTCTTCAATACGAGCCTTTGTGAATCACAATCTCAACAACTTTAACCATGGCGAATCGATACGTCCCTACACTTCCCATCGATGGATCAATCCCTGAAACCACTCTTATGTCGACGAAAATGCACACACCAACTGTTCGTCCATATTACATAACTGTTGAAGACTCCAACCGTATGAGGGAAGTCTTGGAGGCAAGGAATCTGCTGGCGATCAACAGCCCCAACTACAACGCGACTCGTCTTCATGACAACATCAAAACACACTTGACGGATCCCAAGGATCCCTACCGCACCTGGTACCAGAGAATAGCAGAACATTACCAGGAGCAATGGAAAACTCAACAAATCGATCAAGCCATACGCCTGTCAACTCTCCCATGTCATTTATATGAGAAAGTCCTCCTGGCCATGGCGGCGTTCTGGCACTCTGAGGTTTGTACCTTCCTTCTTCCAACAGCCCCTATTGGCCCCACCCTCATGGATGTGGCCATGATCGCTCATCTGCCAATCGTTGGGGAAGACCTTGTAATGGGTGCCTTAGATGGGCAAGAGCCCAACTCAGACCACTTAGGCTGGTCTCTGACAGATGTGAAAGAATTGGGCTGGACTAAATTTCTAATTGACCAACAAGGAGCAGACGGACCCCTGTAACCGACCGAGAACACAGAGCCTTCCAGCTCTTTTGGCTCTGTAAGTATGTAGTTGTTTCCCCTTCGAAATGTGTTCTCCCTTCTCATCTTGATCTTGCTATCCACATAGCCTCGGGTCGATTCTTTTCATTAGGCACCCTTTTCCTTGCCAATCTCTTTGAAGGGCTATCCAGGGTCAGTGTCCGCCTTACTGATAAAGATGGTAAGAAATTAGACACTGCTGCGTCGGGTCCTTTTTGGTTCCTGGAACTATGGTTCCGTCTCTATTTTCCCGACGCCTTCCAACTTGGTCATCCTCCCGTTGCCCCCACACTTGAGAAGTCTCTAGGAGTAGCCCTGAATCCACTTTATTTAGGCCGTAATAACCTCCAAGATTCTTATCCAATCATAACAGCCATTCTTACTGATAATCGAAATGACAACCATTTTTACATACACAAAAAGTATATTGGTTATGCGTCCGGTCTGTTTTGGCCATTCCCTGTTCCTTCGCCTTTGTCCCAACCAAATCCACTTCCACATCCAACTTACCCTTTCTCCTGGAATGTTGCTCTTAAATCCAAATCATTATTTGCCAGTAAGAAAATCGATAAAAAGGGTCCCAAAATATTTTATACCTTCTATCAACCTCAACTTGTGGCACGCCAATTCGGCTGCCAACAAGGCTTGCCTGGTCCCATTGCTCATCCTCATTTAATAATTCAAAGTCCGGATGGTAGAGCCATTCCTGATGCAATCGCCCCATACATATCCCAACTCACAAATTATATCACTTCCAACTCTTACATTCCTTACAAATCTTCTCCAACTTTAGTTGAATCTTTTCGGGAGTGGTGGTCGGTTACTTGGGCCTTGATTGCCCCTGACAAGGATCGTTTATTGGGCATCATTCGTCCCCCACCTGCAATAACATTAGGGGCAACCCCTCTGACCAACCCCCGAAGGAACTTTATTACTCAAGGCACTGAGTCGGGTGCTCCACAGAGGAAAAGAAGAGCCTCTCAAACTCAAATTATTCCCCCTTCTGGGGACAGTCAACCATCCCCAACAAAGCGCCCATCAGGTCGGTCCCCTATGAGGACCCGACCCCGTCCAGGTATAATCTCATATTCTCAATTTAACTTGATCCTTACCTTAACATAGTATTAAACCTTATTTTTATACTCAAGTGTGACTTCGGCTCGGGCGACCGCCCAACCTGTCTCCAGACCAGCTAACGCAGCGAAGTCACCAACCGACC